TAAGGTAAATTGAATTAAGTTAAATTAAATTAAGTTAAATTAAATCAAATTAAATTAAGTTAAATTGAATTAAGTTAAATTAAATTAAATAAAGTTAGATTAAATTAAATTAAGTTAAATTAAATAATAGAAATAGCTAGTATAAAGATGATTTAGATGATTAAAATAGGAAAGTAAAATCAGTGAAGTTTTTATTTATTGTTTGTTTTGTCACTGCCAATAAAATCAGTCTTTATTTTGAAGTTGGCAGTTTTGTCAACTGATGAACTCATAAATATTTTTCTCCATCACACCTCCTTGGTTCCATATAATAACTTAATGACCAATAATGTAATTATTGTATATTTACCTATTTGTGACGCGTCATTTTGGGACTCCATACTAATGTAATGATAAGTATATCTGAGATTTAAAATCATTATAATAATGTATAGATTATCAATGAGATATTAAATGATTTAGTATTTAATGTTTATTTCTCTGCCTTTTGTTTCCACACTGATTCAATGAAGCTGCTTTAACCTGTATAAATGACCTCATTACACACTGTTGTGTTTTACTGACGCGTTTCCATAAAGACTCGACAGATGACTTCCGGTGTTGTTCGGGAACATGACACCTGTGCGGGGGGCGGGGCTAAGGTGACGGGGAGCGGCGCTCAGCTGGGTGTGGCCTCCTTTGTTTTTATCAGCTGCCGCAGTTTCAGTTGAGACATTTCAGGTGCAGCAGAGACACACACAGAGACACACACAGAGACACACACAGAGACACACACAGAGGGACAGAGGGACGGACAGGTGAGTGTCCTCACTTCAGGTTGTTAAATCAGCTCCACAGGCTGCTTTGTATTTGTGGCTTTAAATCCTTGTTTACTTGTTTGTTACCTGTCGCGACAACAAACAGGTGTGTTGTTGGCTTTAAATCACTTATCTGCTCATCAGCATCTGTTACATTACATTGTGTTAAAGTGCGGAGTTACAGTGAGTTAAACCGCCACAGGTGTTTAATGTGCTGACTGTTGATTTAACTTTTGTTGTTTAAAAAACAAAATATGAGGCGAGGAGACGTTTCAGTTTGAGCTGATTGAGCCGCGCCAAACCTCAGAGTGAAAATGGACGTTTAAAGACACACAGCGTGTTTAATGGTGGTAGTTTGATTTTATAATAAAGCTGAAACGATAAATTTATTTATTTATCGACAAAAAACTGTTCGGCAACTGTTTTGATCATAGATTTATTGATTTAAGGGAGTTTTTAATAAGAAATGCTCTCAGTTCCTGCTTCTTTAATGTGAGAAATTGCTGCTTTTTTGTTCTTGTGTCATTGTAGACTTTATTTTATGTATCTTTTACTTATTTATTTTAAGTTTTGGAGTGCTGATTTTGCAAAACCCTGTGATCTCACTGGAACAAATGGCCATTTTTCACATTTATTTCATTATTATATCTCACAGAAAATCAGCATATTAATCTGTAATGAAAATGACAATCATCATAATCAATGATGTTTTTGCAGATTGTTTTTGCAGCACCCAGTGGACCCAGCAGTCATGTCCTCCAGGCCCAACGGGAGTCCACCTCCCTACGAGTCAGATACTGGATAGTGAGTGTCTTTCAGTGATAATTCATGTTGTTAATTTGTTTTATTAATTTTAGATATTGCTGAGCTCAAAGTTATAACAGACTGTACATTAACCCCCTTCATGTATACAGTTATTTATTTTATTTTTGTTTTGTTTTGTTTTAAGTGTTATAACACAAAAAATAGCACTGAATTTATCTAACTTTGAAAACCATCATGAATTTTTGCTATTTCAAAAAACTTATTTTTGCAAGTTTTCATACTTTTTTCCATAGAGGAAAATTTAAGTGTTTTAGGTTTTCAGTAATTTATCTAGAAAAAAATTGTCTCGGAATATCTGAGTTTGAGCAACTTGAATTTTCTGCCTGTAACCAACTAACAAGCAAGTTTGTGAAAATCACAGTGTGTAAATAACTCAAACCTTTATACATTCAGACAAATGGTTTTCAAAATAAAATATTTCAGGGGTGATGTAATGCCACAGTTATTCAGGTCTTCTATTGTTTACAAGATTGTTCATTTCCATGCTGCACTCCTGCTGATTTAAAGGCAAATTTAAATCAAAGACAGTACATGTTTTACACTTCTCTAAGCTCTCAATGGTCCCAGGGAAAGTTTTCTATTGAATGGTCTTTAGGAGAGCGCCTGAACGAAAGACGGCAAAAAAGGTTTATATAATGTATAAATTCCTTCAAGGGAAATGCTTTGTTTGTTTGTTTGTTTATTTGTTTGTTTGGACATCCATGAGCCAAGAATGGACATGAGACACTTGGATAATGCTGCACAGGAGTTTTCAGAAAGTCAGAATTTTTCTAACCTTTTTTAGCACTGATGTGCTTTCTGTAGCCCCGTCTCCACCAAACCCTTTCAGTCCAGTCCCTCTGGAACCAGCAGTAAGCCTTCAGACATGGTACCTAGACCCTCGGTGTGTTCAGACAGTCCTCTTAAATGTGGGCGGGGTTGTTGTCACTCACTGCTCCGTCCAGCACTCGCTGTATTTCCTCATCAGCGGTGACACAGATGGTGTCAGTCTGCACCTGGTTTATCGTCCACAGAACGAGGCTGCACGCCCACATTTTCACAACAAAATAGAACAGGCTGCAGTGAGAGTCTCTCTCCATGGGATATTTAAAAATAGCAGCTTTGTGCATTTAGTCCTTCTCAGGCAAGCTCAGGGGTTTAGTGTTGCTGTAGCCCACAGGAAGTGAGGATTAGAATATATGACCTTCACATAATCCGCTCCAAATTTATCTATATTTTTAAAGTCATTACTAAAAGTGTGTGTCATATAAAAACTAAAGTGATGGTCAAAGTTGTCACAGTGAAATTTAAGGTGTGCTGATGGATTCACGTCATCAACTCATGCATTGAGTAACATTACAAGTTAACGTTCCACCTTAAAAGTTGCCGGCAGTCGGCCCAGTGAATGAAGTTATTTTTTCTCTTTCATTTTATAGTTGTAGTTTACTGATGTATGAACAGAGGTTACATAAAACCAGAGTGACCGTCCTCTACTGACCAATCAGACTGCAGTGTTCACAGCTCCACCTTTTAGTACCAGATCTGTGTGCTAGGTACCCCAACAGAGGGGGGACCAAACATGGGGACGCTAAGGAACGCTTCTGTTGGGACCATCCACAACTTTTCACTGTGGGAACCGGAAAAAACTTTGAACTGAACTGCTCGATGGAAACAGGCGTGTTTTCATGAGCTCATCTCTCTTAAACACCATTAAATAGAAAACTTCTTCTGGTTCCAAAGGGAGGTGAGGACTATGTCTTTGGTGCTTTTATGATATTTACACAGGTATGTTTTCTGTTCCTCTCTTCACAGTAACGTTCCTCCCCAGCCGGCCTATTCCTACTACCCAGATGATGAGTTCCAGCATTTCTACCGCTGGACGTCTCCGCCAGGCATCCTCAAAATCATGGCCATCATCGTCATCGTGATGTGCGTGGCCATATTTGCTTGTGTTGCCTCCACACTGGCTTGGGACAGTCAGGGCGCCCTTGGTGGCTTCGGGGGCATCGGGGGAGGTTATGGCGGTGGTTACGCTGGCTCATATGGCGGCGGCTATGGTGGTCAGTACGGCAGCTTTGGCGGCGGTGCATATGGACCTGGAAACGGCTACGGCTACGGTGGAATCGGAGGGAACTACAATGACCCCCGATCGGGCAAAGGGTTTATGATTGCTATGGCAGCCATCACCTTCATTGTCTGCTTGGTCATCTTCATCATCATCGTGTCTCATCAGAGCCTGTCGGAGAGCAGGAGGTTCTACCTGGCAGTGATAATCATCTGCGCCATCCTCGCGCTGCTAATGCTGATAGCCGCCATAGTGTACTTGATGGCAGTGAACCCCATGGCTCAGTCGGCCGGGTCGGCGTACAGCAGTCAGATCGCAGGTCTGTGCGCTCAGTTCCAACAACCACAGCCTTCAGGAGTGTTCGTCAATCAGTACCTTTACCACTACTGTGTCGTGGAGCCTCAAGAGGTGAATACACATTTTCACTTCCTCATGTTGGTATCTGTTCTGGAGGATTTGTTATAACTTGTTATAACTGTCTCCTCTCAGGCCATCGCGGTGGTGTTCGGCTTCCTGGTCGCCGCCGCTCTCATCATCATGCTCGTCTTTGCTCTGAAGACGCGCCAGAAAATTGGACACTTCGGGAAGAGCAACATCCTGTGGAAGAGGGTGAAGCTTGTCGAGGATGTGCAGCCACCTCAAGATGTAGAGGCGTGGGTGAGTAAATTATTCAGCCTGACTTGAGCTGAAACAAGAAGTCGTTTAATGGACGAGTCGAGCGACAGAAAAATAACCTGCAACTATTGTAATAACCATTTTAGCCATATTTAAAGCAAACATCGTAAAACATGATGAACATTTCTCTGGTTCCAGATTCTGAAATGTGAGGATTTGCTGTTTTTATGCCTCCACGCTCGTGACAGTCGTGGTCAGAGGCATTATGTGTTTATGTGTGAGGCAATTTCTTCAAATTTGGCACAAACGTCCACTTTGAGTCAAGGATAAACTGAGAAGATTTTTGGAGTCAATGGTCAATGTCACTGTGACCTTGTCGGTTTCATTCTCATGAATGCAATATCGCAAGAAAACCTTGAGGCAGTTTCTTCAAATTTGGCACAAATGTCAACTCGGACTATAGAATGAACTGATTATATTTTAGTGGTCAAAGGTCAGTGTGACCTCATAGATCATGTTTTTGGCTGATCATGTTAATAATGCACGGTGCAAAGAGACACATTTATTTTCTGGGTGTTGTCTTACTTTGACCAGTCGACCAGCGCCCTGACTTCCATCTTGTCGGTCTTCTGGTTTCCCTTTTTGAATGACGAATACAGACGAGCACCGTCTGCTGCTGTGGAGAGTTATTCCTTTCACAAAGGCGCAGAATGGACGTGCTAGCTGGCCGCTGGTTGTGGTGTTTGCGTTGTGTTCATGTGCAACTTTTTGGCCGAGACACAAGCGATGTAAGGCGACGCAACAGTTGGCCTTCTTCGCCGCTAGTTCTTTGAGGTCACCTTGGTGTGTGGGACATTATAACGTCATATTTTCACTATTTTCTGGAATTTTATTGACAAATTGTTTCAAATGAATAATCAGCATATAATCAAGAGTCACAGCCCTAAATGGTTAATCAGTAATAAAAATAGTTGCTAGTTAATTGATTCACCCATTGATAAACCGACTAATCCTTTAGGGTGTAAAGTGATTCTGGAGGTTGAAGGGAAACATGAGGTCACAGCTGATGTTTCAGATCTTCAGGTTTCAGGTGAAGTGTCTCTGATGAAGCAGCAGTTAAATGTGCACCAGCAGAAGTGGAACAACCAGTTTGGTGGCAGTCACCTGTTTATCAGCGGGGGAGGGGAAGTGTGGAGCACTTGGTTTCAAGGTGTGGCGTGCACACAGATGACAGTTTCAATCTTACAGTGATATGCTGAACTCGGACGCTCCACTGTAAAACACTCAGTATTTACATTTCACCGTGAATCATCTGTGAAGCTATTTTCAGTTGAGCTCAACATCTCGACATGCTGTAGTGTAGCGATGAGTAGGTGATTCACTTTGTTAGTAATAGTTTGGAAGTCATCATGACATTTCAGTGCAGCAGAGTTCACTGCAGAGCGACGAGGAGGAAGAACAGGTCGGACTGGTGCTCCACAGCCCACCAGTTAGCAGACACACAACACCAGTAACATAATACTGGGAAGCAGAGGCATTTATTTGACTGTAGCTTGTGGGAACGCGTCTGCAAAGTGCTGAGGCAGTGAGACTGTAGCGACCTGCAGCACATACATGTTGTTTTGGAGGTGCAGGAGGGGTTAGCTCTCACTGTGTCCCGTACATTCAGAGAACAAGTCCATGCAGGCGTCTCATACCAGAGCTGGTGCAGATCCAAAGTGTTAGTTGGAGACGCCGCCTGTCAGATATTCGTGGGTTTGTTTGGGTGCAGCTTTGTCTTGTTTAAAGAAATCATACATTTCAGCTTTGCAAATAACAATTATTTTTATTCATGATTTTCTGTTTCAGCTGTTAAATGTCAGAAAATAGTGAAACACGCCTTTTATAAGTTCCCATGGATGAAGAAAAAGGAATCCCTCCACGCTGTCCTGTTACTTGCAGTAAACTTTATGAGATGAACAACTTTTCAGTCGTGAGTGTTCAACCTGATGAAGGTTTGACGTTTATTGCAGGAAACAGGACAGAGTGCAGGAGTTCCCTTTTCTTCATCTATGGACAGTTTTCTCCTGCACCGAGTTTTTAAAGTTGTGCATGAGCCTCAGCGTTCTGGAAACTGATTCCCAAAGATATTCAGTTTATTATAATGTCTGACAAAGAAAAGCATCAAATCCTCACACTTCAGTCGCTGCATTTTATTGATCTAAAGAGTATTTGATCATGAAAATAGTCGCACAGACGCTCTCGCAGAGGGAACAGAGTCCTCACTGCAGTCTGGGATGGGGGTGGGGTTGATAAGGGGAGAGGGTGATTATGGGTTAGAGCACTGGTTCCCAGCCTGGGGGCTCTGACCCCCACTATGTGTAGCCAGAGCTTTACAGGGAGGTCGTGAAGCCATCTTGATTTTAAGGCGTGTAAGAAAACTTGAAGCATTTCTTTCATTTCTGTGAAAAAAACTAAATTAAATTGTTATTTTTAAATTTTAGATTATTATTCAGACTTGACACCTGAACATGAGCCACACTGACGTCAATAACAGCTTAATTATAACATGATCCATGATGATGAAGATACAGAAAAATAGAAGTGCATGGCAAACATTATTGTCAATATTTTTGAGACCCTCAAAATTGCAGAAATTGCTCATTGTTTATTAAGATGAGCTAAGCTCCTCCGAATTAGTATCATTTAAAATATTATTATATTATATATATTATTATAATATAATGTTAGTAACACCATATTTTCTTATCTAATCTTGTTTCACATAAAAAAAAAACATCTGAAATTATTATTATGTATATTTTATGTATAACAATGATTGTTTTCCATTATTTATTCATTGCCTTTTTTTGTTATTTATTTATTTATGTATTATTTTATTAAAATTTTGTTTAAAAAAAAAGTTTGTTTATATATAACAGAAGCATGGCAATACCATATTTTCTTATTTTGAAAATAGCAACAAAAAACCAACAACTTCTGAACGATTATTATTTATATTATCATTATGTTTAATTTTTTGTTATAGAAATTATTGTTTTTCTTATTTATGTATGATTTTTTTATTTTATTTTATTTATTTATTTATTTATTTATTTATTATTTATTAAGTCCTTGCATCTTTTTACATTATGTTTGTTTTTGTGGAAAAGAAACATTCAATATAATTTTCTTTTTATCTTTGAAAATTATGTTTCATAACAAAAAATACTTCTAATAACACATATTTATTTTTTAAAATTTTTATGATTAGAAAAAAAAAATTGTTTTCTCCAATTTATTATTTGTTATTTATTTGCAGTATGTTCTCTCTGTGTCTTCTGACATGTTGTATATGAGAAAGAAGCATGGCAGTCCAGTGTTCCCATTTGTATTTTGCTAATATTTGGGGGTTTTTTTCTGTCCCACAGGTGAACAACGTGTCGGCCACCCCTGAACCGCTGCCGGTGTCGGACTACCCCGAGAAGCTGAGAGGCTCCAGGAGTCACCTGGACGAAGAAAGCACCAACTATGACAAACCTCCCTACGACTACTCCCCACAGTCAGTACACACTGTCGTCAACAACTACTGTCACATTTGTGTGTGTGTTGTGTGTAGTGTACCCCGGTGCCCTGCAGATGGCAGCACAGAGAGAGACACACTCTGTGTCCTTATTCAACACCACACACACAGGTTTTTAGCCTTTATTTGACAGTAGAGAGAGACAAACACACACAGCTGTGATCAAACTGGAGACGTGGTTACATAGAAAGTGTCTCACCACACAGACGCAGCATGTTTACTCTCGCTGCAGACTTTAAACATCACTGAATATCCACAATTCTGAGTGTGCTGATGATGGGAACTGTCCCTGAGTGCAACACAGAAAATTACATTTTCATATTTGCATGAACCTTTAATTTCTGCTTGTATAATCTGAAATAACTGATGTTTTTTGGCCACATGTTTTCCAGCAGAAACAAGTAGTGAGCAAACTTTAGACATGTTTCCCTCAATGTTTTTTAATGTGCATTTGAAGTATAGCGGTCGGAAAGCTGTATAGAAACGGCAGCATTTGTTAAAACTACCTCAACTGCACCATAAAGTTTTTACACTTTAAAGTTGCTGAAAGAGTCCTGGGCTGCGTTGAGACCTGACAAAACACGGCTCGTCCCGATCCGATCTCAGAGTTTGGCAGCACTGAGCTATAGAGCCAGATCTGACCCTTTGTTTGATGTCAGCTGTCACAAAGGTGTTTTTACTCGTGAAGCTTTTCTGCACAACAACTCAGAGGCCAGCAGCTCTGCTTCTGTCCTCCACTGCGCACCCCACCTGCAGCGAAACACCACACGCCATAAACAACAGCAAAACACAGTATGAGACAGTTCATTTAAGTCAGTGGTTCCCAACTGGTGGGTCACGGTCCTTGGTCCAGTCTGAATGGACCGCAAGTGACTCACAAACATGTCAAGTTTGTAATTTCTAGCACAGAGCTTTTATTTTGAAGTGCTGCTTCCTGCTGTAGAGCTAGCTCGATAGCAAAACAAACTGGAGGAAACTGTTCATGTGTGGTCCTGCTTTGTAAGATTGGCTTCCTGTGACATCATCCATCCACTGAGTGAGAGCATACGGGTCGGCCAGTCTGGTCCCGTTGGTCACTGTTTACTCACAGTAAAAGGATCTATACTGCTAACTTGTAGCTGTGTTTTATTTGCTTCAAACCAGCTGAAGAAAGCACACCTAACTCTTATTCCTTTTGTGTGCTATTTCAAAAGTTTGCTTAAAAGTTGCTCAACACTTAAATCAAAACACGGCTCCTGACACATCACCTGCGGAGCTGATGTGGTTAACGTGTTAGCAAATAGTTGCATATTCCCACATCATGTAGTTAAAGAACAACATGATGATTCAGCAGGAGTCTTTGTGTTTGTGTCACCTGATGAGTCTCTCTTATAGCTCTGTTTTTGGTCTCCACCACCTCTTGAGAGAAATCTAAATGCTCCACTGTGTTCACCTGCTGCTCTCTAACTGTATCTGTCTGCTGTTTGCTGCTGAGCAGGTAGTGTGCAGTGACTTTTTATAGCTTCCTCTCTGTAAGTGACGCTATGAGAGCGTAGAGCTGAGAGTGATTCTCTGTACGTTCATCACACCTTTTTAACATTTTTATTTGATGCATTTCAATTATAAAAATATAGAGATTTACTTTAAGTCGAATTAGACAAAGCTTTTTCAGATTTAAATCCATTGTTTCACGTCTTGTGTCATTTCCTGTTACCATTACAGAATGTCACCAACTACAAACATGTATTTTGACAGTTCTGCTGTGATGCACATGTTGTGTACATGTAATGTGGCGTGTGGAGTTAAACTGGTTTTCTTCAGATTCAGCTGTCAAAAAAAAGACATGCTGGAACTTGTTCTTATCCAAAAATACTCAGCTTCCCACCAGTCTGCAGTGTTTCTGTCCTCGGCCTCCAAACCTTTAGTGTTGTTTGTGTTAAACCTGAAGAGTTGCTTTCTGTCGTGGCTGTTTGTGCCTCCTCTGGGCTGTCTTAGTCAGTTTTCAAATGTGTGTTTGTAGAAACACACAAAGAGGATTTAACGGCACATTTGTTTCAACAATTTGCCTTATTATTATTTCTAACTTAAGGTTGAAGCTGTGGGAGTGGGCGGCCATTTTATTCACATAGGTGTAGCTGGTGTGTTCGGGGCTTAGATGGTTGTTTTGTTTGTTGTTTGGGCCTTGGTTCACTCTGAGTTACTTTCACTTCACGTTGAACATTTTGAACTGCAGTTCCTGCTGAGAGCCGCCTGGTTTGGGGACCAGGGAGAGAACAGCCTGTCACACTTTGATGTTGCCCTCCTTCTCCCTTAGACAGGGGTGTAACAGTGGACCAGTGTGTGTCGTATCTCTGCCGACTCTCCTCTGTACAGAAAAAAAATATATATATAACAGACACTAGAAGTGTTTCAGCAGAACCTTCTGTGTGTAGATGGTGACAGTAAGGTTCCAGTTTCAGAAAAGAATTTCATGAATCACTTTCTTGCGACACTGAAACTGAGTGAAATAGTTTTGTGTTGAAGTATGGAAAGTATGTGTGAGGGAAACAGGAAGTCATTGTTGGATTTGTTTACTCGTTATAGATGAACTGATGGGTCATAAATCAAGTCATCTTACTTCCTCCAGCGTCACAGCAAAGATACTGAAGGGTTGAAGGATTTTAAATCAGAGACAGACAAACGTACAGCAGTTTAATGGATGAAGGGTCGTCAGCTGTAAAACAGATTACCGTTCCATTGTTCATTTGTTCTGTATAATTAATTACAAACTCTCTGTCCTTTGTCTCACAGTCCTGCAGTGGAAGAGAATCAGCCTCTGCAGAACGGCGCCCCCTACAGCACCAACTCAGACATGCCTAGCTCAGCTGGAAGGCCCAAAAAGAGACGTGCAGGCCGACCGCGCCGTGCCGATGGACAGGACTACGACACCGACTACAACTCCTCAGGAGACGAGCTGGACGACGACGACTTTGACAGGTAGGAAGAAATTAAAGATCACAGAAGTGTTCACATCTTATAGAAGTAAAAGTACTCGCAACACACTCTGAAAATACTCTATTACAAGTAAAAGTCCTGCTTTAAAGGTCCAGTGTGCAGGACTCAGGACTGATATATGTTGGCAGAACTGGAATGTGATATAATCATGATCTTTTCTTTAGTGTATAATCACCTGAAAATATGAATCATTGTGTTTTCGTTGCCTTAGAATGAGACGTTTTTACACTGCAGCCTGTTTTGCTGCAGCGCTCTCGCTCATTACCGGACCAGTTTAAAAACTGTCAGTCAGTTAGACACAAAAACTGAAGCTAACTCTGTTTAACTGAAGCTGTGTTGCTCTAAGATCACTTTGACACGTGTTTTTTCTGTAATTTAAATCTTCTCTTTGCCCTTGTTTTCCACCTCAGAGAGTATCCACCGATAGTGGACGAGACGCAGCGCAACGAGTACAAGCGCGAGTTTGACCGCGACCACCAGGAGTACAAGGACCTGCAGGCGGAGCTGGACGCCCTGAATAAGAACCTGTCAGACGTGGACAGAGAGCTGGACGACCTGCAGGAGGGCAGCCCAGCGTACCTGGTGAGAGCTCTCAGCGACACAGTGTTGTTATTCACTGTTCGATATTATTTTGCTCTCTCGTTTATATTCGTTCATGTGACTAGGACCAATAGTTTGGTTTCATTTGAAGCATTAATCTCTTATTTATTATTTTTTTAAACTTTTGTGATGTGGATTGAGTTGCTTGTACAAAGACTCACCAACTTTACTGTTTTAGCCTCTTTTAACTCCTTGTTTTGATTTTACGGCACACAAATTTATTTTTATGCCTCTGCGCCCGCGACATGTTTTCAGGTTGTCCCTCCATCCGTCCCATTCTTGTGAACGTGAAATCTCAAGAACGCCTTAAGGGAATTTAATCAAATGTGGCACAAACGTCCACTTGGACTCAGTGATGAACTGATTAGAGTTCAGTGCTCAGAAGGTCAAGATCAATGTGACCTTGCATCTGTCTAGTTCTTGTGAAACTAATATGTCAAAAACACCTTCGGGGAGAATTTGGCACAAACGTCCACATGGACTCAGTGATGAACCGATGAGATTTTGTTGGACAAAGGTCAAAGTCAGTGTGACCTTGCATCTGTCTAGTGCTTGTGAAAGTAATATTTCAAGAACTGCTTGGGGGGGAATTTGGCACGAATGTTCATTTGGACTCGACGATGAACTGATTAGATTTCAGTGCTCAGAAGGTCAATGTCAGTGTGACCTTGCATTTGTCTAGTTCTTGTGAAAGTGATAGCTCAAGAACACCTTGGGGGGAAATTTGGCACAAACGTCCACTTGGACTCAGTGGTCAACCAATTAGATTTTGTTGGTCAAAGGTCAAAATCAGTGTGACCTTGCATCTGTCTAGTTCTTGTGAAAGTAATATTCAAGAACACCTTGGGGGGGGAAATTTGGCACGAATGTTCATTTGGACTCAGTGATGAACTGATTAGATTTCAGTGCTCAGAAGGTCAAGATCAATGTGACCTTGCAGCTGCCTTTTTCTCATTAATGGGATATCTCAAGAATAACTAAAGGGAATTTTGTCAAATTTGACACAAATGTCCAATTGGACTCATGAACTCATTAGAACTTGGTGGTCAAAGGTCAAGGTCAGTGTGAATATGTTTTTGGCCATAACTCAAGAATTCATACACTAATCATGACAAAACTTCACACAAATGTCTAAGAGGATAAAATAATGAATGAAAGAATGAATTTTTCATATGAATCTAGAGTGAAGTAATCTATGAGCTGACGTCGTCATTGGGTGGTGGACGATGTGGTGGACGATGTGATACCTACGAGTAACGCCTGCCAAGCTGCAGCGGCTTTTTAGGTGCCAAGCATAAGTGATTTGTAGCAACCCATTGCTGCTTTTCCAGTGGCTTTTTAGGCATGAAAAGTGGATGTTCTTCACTGAGACATCGCTGCCTTCCTCCCAGGATATTGCCACCTAAAGCAGAGGTTTTTTACCAAACAGTGCTATTTTCCCTGCCGGGGTTTTGCCCCTCTAAACGGATACTTTTAGCAAAAACACGATCTTTTCCTGACCGTTACCAAGTGTTTTTTGCGCCTAACCCTAACCCTAACCCTAACCACGTTAACTACCAAAATGTAAAGTTTGAAGGTATTAGCTACAGAGTAACGTACGAATATAATGTATCTGTGGTTTGCAGAAACTAGCAATACTAACATTTTTCTGGTGACTGGCTGATGTACAATAATCCACCACTAACATTTCAGTCTTGACAATGAAAACAAAACATACATTTCGTCATAGTTTGTATTATCAAACATCTATTTTAAACTCGTTGACGAACGTTTTTTTTTTGTCATAGTTTACATTAACAAAATTAACATTGCTTTACAGCTCGTTCTTCTGCCCCCAAATGGCCAAAATGTTTTACTTTATGACAGAAGAAGTGACATAGGCAAAATAAAACATGTTTTACCGACTGTAATTTCATTTTGAAATGTGATAAATTGTTGATGCGCTCTTTAACAGGATGCTCTGGATGAGTACAACAGGATAAAGAACATTAAACGGGTACGTAGGACTCTCAATGATCTACATCTTCTTGCTACTTTTAAATATTTATAAGCTGTTTATAATGTAACTCATACATGTTATGCCTTATGTTTTGTTCATGAACCTTGATAGACTTATTTAAGACTTGATATTGTACATTTACAGCTGTTTGCTGTTTCTGAGGTCCTATATTTTTGACATTGCTTATATTTTGGATTTGGACCTTACTGTTAGCCGTCATTGTGTACATTTGGTTTTTGCACTTTATTGATAATTTGTTTATTTGCATATTTTATATTCTTTGTGCTGCAACTTTTGCACAATCCCTCAGAATAAGTAAAGTTTTACATTCTCTCGTCTCTGCAGTCTCCAGACTATCAGATGAAGAAGCGCAGGTGCAAATACCTGAAGTCCAAACTGAACCACATCAAGAAGATGGTCAGCGATTTCGACCGCTGGGCCTGAACAACTCCGAGGATGTTACGCCTGTCCATGACGGGACAGAAGGGACTAAATCTGGTTTTGGGGGGGAACGTTTGGAGGCTGTGAGAGGACGAAGCTACGCTGATCCAACCCAGTGGTTTCCACAGTCTATCTGAGCTGGTGAAACACTGCAAAGGTTGTTTTATAATTTAGAGGCAGAGAAAACAAAGATTCTGTCTTGTGTTATGCCGTTGTTTGTTTTATGAGTATCACCTGCCATAGATACTGTTATAGGTATTTATTATGCCTCATTTAATCTGAAACAGTCTCGTAGAGGAGTTTCTAGAGAGTGAACACAAATGAAACATAATCCCCAAATTTGTTTTTAATAGCTCTTGTTTCAATGACTCAACATGAGATGCTCATTTTGTAAGATCTTTTTAATTCTCATTTTTAATCCTTTCAGCATGTAAATATGTGGGCAACACGGATGTTTTTTAAGTTTTTAGCAGTTTATTGAATTAAGTTCGTGTGTGTTGTGGTGTGTTTTTCTTTTATGGATGGTAGAAGTGACAGACACTTTTAAACTCATGTTTGATGCATTGTGTGATGTACTTTTACAATGATTTGTCAGACCTTTTTATTATAATAAAGTCATTTATTGAGCAATTTTCTTGCTGTTCTTACACAGTAAGCATGTGACAAACATATATCTGAGATTTCTTGAACAAATAGTTGGTGTGAAAACAATCAACACTCAGCTCCTCTTGATTCATAGACACTGTGTAGATGTTTTAAGAGTGTATCTCACTTATCAAATCATTCTGATGACATTGTAGAAAATTAAGCGCTGTGTGGATCTTCTTCACATACTGACTTTAAAGCTGCACTAATCAATATTTTTTATATATTAATGTATAAAATGACCACAGATAATGTGAAAGGTGTCGTTTGAAGTAACAAATCCACAGATAATTATCACCTATGTTGTTGCTTTTAAGTCTACGCTGCTTTTTAGCCTTTTTTAGCTCATTGTTTTGGTTCTGAACCTGCAAATGTCAATCAAATCAACCCTGTTTTACATTTTAAAAAAGCTCAAATAAATGTATTCTACAGTACTCACCCAGCACAACATTAAAAAGAAAAACACAGAAACTAATGTGTCACAAAAAAGACAAATCTTTTCTTTTCCTCAGGAGTTGGTGGAGACCAAAACAGAGCTGAAAGACGACTTCATATTGGACATGTGTTTGTTAGCCTGCTCTACTGCCCCCAAGTGGCCAAAAACAAAACAAAACAAGAAAACAAAACAAACCCAAAAAACAGTTAATTCCAGTTAAGAGCTACACTTACTTACATTTTCTCAACATTAACAATGGATCAAATGACTGTGTGCAATATGAAATGTATGGCTTGTAGTGTCAAACCCACAGAGAATTATCACCTGATGCTTTTTTGGCCTTTTTTAGCTAATGAGTTAGCATTTTTGCACTCCCAGTCCCCTCATCATTTGGTTTGAAGTCTAAAATAAGGTATGTAGTTCTTCACAGTTTGTTCCACCTGATGGCACAGTGGTGCAGTGGTTTGGATTGTCATCTCACAGCAAGAGGGTTCTTGGTTCAAAGTCCTTCTGTGCAGAGTGTGCATGTTCTCCCTGTGTCAGCGTGGGTTTCCTCCAGGTGCTCTGACATGTTCTCCCTGTGTCAGTGTGGGTTTCCTCCAGGTGCTCCAGCTTCCTCCCACAGTCCAAAGACATGCAGGTTAACTGGTGACTCTAAATTGTCCGTAGGTGTGAATGTGAGTGTGAATGGTTGTCTGTCTCTATGTGTCAGCCCTGTGATAGTCTGGTGACCTGTCCAGGGTGAACCCTGCCTCTCACCCAGTGTCAGCTGGGATAGGCTCCAGCCCAACTCCAACTGTGGTGTCGTTCGTTTATAGCCTAGCGTTAGCTTTTTACTTCTGGTGATTGCATTTACTCTTCAGAAATCATAAAAGTGGTGTTAATTTGTGAAGATAAACATTCTCAACAAAAACTGTAAGTATCATAAACTTTTGTTTGCCACAGAGATTTTCTGCAGTAATCCAATTTAAAAATCCCACTGGCCTTTTGTCAAGTGAACAAGGGCAATACTAACATCCAGGATGGCCTAAACAAAAGTCATCCCTGCAGTGCTCTGTTGTTTTGATTTTGAACCCACAATTTCATGTTTGTATCATCCATCCATCCATCCATCCATCCATCCACTTATCCAGGGCCAGGTTTCGGGGGCAGCAGGCCAGGCAAAGCACCCCAGACATCCCTCTCCCCAGCAACACTTTTAAGCTCCTCCTGCGGGACCCCAAGGCGTTCCTGGCTCTACTCCGAGCTCCCTCCAGATGTCTGACTCCTCCCCCTATCTCTAAGGCTGAGCCCAGACACCCTACGGAGGAAACTCATTTCAGCCGCTTGTATCTCCGATCTCATTCTTTTAGTCACTACCCAGAGCTCATGACCATAGGTGAGGGTTGGGACGTAGATGGACCAATAAATCAAATGCTTTGCCTACCAGCTCAGCTCCCTCTTCACCATGATGGTCTGGCACAGTGCTCGCATCACTGCAGACAATATTGATCCATTTTGCGCTCCATTCTACCCTCACTCGAGAACAAGACCCCAAGATACTTGAACTATCTCAACTTGGAGAGGACAATCCACTGGTTTCTAGCAGGGAACCACGGTCTCAGATTTGTAGGTGCTGACTCTCGACCGCTTCACACTCTGCTGCATCAACTCTACTTTTCGGGGAAAAAATTCATATAAACCCACTGAACACCACTTGCCCAGCAGCAAACTGCAGACAGACACAGTTAGCGACTAGCTGGTGAACGTAGTGGAGCACTTAGAAGCCAAAGAGACAGTCACCACACTGAGGAATTGGAGAACTGGATTTGTCGCAAAAACACAACCTCAAATGAATGCTAATGTTGCTCTGAGTCTACTGGGTGTTTAAACTGTTAGCTAACGCATCAGCTAAAAGACCTTTGATATCTAATGTTGCCCTTTCTTGCTTGCTCTGCTGCCCCCAAGTGGCCATTTTTTTTAAAATGCAGCCTTAAGGAAGTGTTCATGTTAACACTGCACACTGAAGCCACATGCACAGAGACAACACACAGCACACTGAAGCAGAGGAAGGTACCTACAGTTTATATGTTAAATCGATTAGGATGCTTTGTTTTTCTTTAACTTTTTGGGTTCCCTCACTGGATTTCACCACACAGACACATCACATGACAAAACATTTCACATTAAAACACATCGATGACCTTCCCTCCTGAGTAAACCTCAGGCTGTTGTTTTAAGCTGTTCTGTCTGCATTGAGTGTCTCCGCAGCAGCATCCTCCTGGTCATCTCTTTGGGGTGTCCAGGAGGAGCGCAGGGATGGAAACTTTTTAGGCCAGACTCTTTGTCACAGAAACCACCTCCAGCACTGGAGCTAAGGTTATAAGCATTATGGAGGGGGGTGCTGGTGGAGTTGAGGGCCAGAGGCGGCAGAGATCTAGGCCTGGCCTGGGAGTTGTGGTCCAACAAGAAGGCTCCAGACCCTCTGCGCTCTTACCCAGACAGCTCTCTCCTGTTGGGGCCAGTTGACAGTGACTCCCTGGAGCCCAGCGTGCTGGAGCAGCGTAAGGGTGCCAGTCTCTTGACCTCTGTTATGTCTCTTGCTCTCTGCTGGGACTCCTCGGGCAGATTGTGGATGTCTCTAGCTAGCTGGGGGTCAGAGCTGTAGATGTCGGCCCCGAACTTGCGCCTCTGGATTATGCTGTGAAGGCTTGATGAGGCCATGCTGTGAAGTGGAGTGCTAAGGTTTTGGCCCCCAGAAAAGGAGGAAGAGGAGGCAAGTGAATCTGTTCCAAGGTTTGCAGAGTGGAGGTTGGGGTGGGAGTGGGATGATAGGAGACCTGGTAAGGATATCTTTTGTCCCATGTGGTTGGCACATTCATTTTCTCCTTCCACTCCTTTGTCCTTTGCCAAACTTCCTTCATACAATTTGAAGTTGTCAGTTGTTGAATTCATGCCGTCTAGTTTGGGAATTCTCAGAGAGAGGTCTTCACTTTGGTTGAGGTCTTCGCTGTTTTCTGAAGGCAAGGTTGCAAGAGGCTGCCGGCTGAGCAGAGACGCCGGGATCTTCAGCCAGGGCTCAGAGTTCAACCTCAGGAGAGGCTGCTGCAGGCCATTTGGCACCGCTTGGCCAAGCCTTTGAAATCGTGATGGAGAACATGGATGGGAGCTTACGCCGCAAGACTGGGCATCTTTAAAGGAGAAAACAGTCTTTGGGGGACACAAGGAAGAGGAGGTGCACTGGGGGGAGGTGATGAGCTGGATTTCAGAGGGAGAAGCAGGAGCTGCAGATGCCGTTTTGTCCATCTGATCAAGAGGACCGAGGGGAGGCATGCCGAGGTACTGTGTGGCTTGCAGTTGGCCACATGGGAATTTGTCGGTGGCTATGATGATCACCTCTTTCCCCTTGGCCTTGCATGTGTCGAGCATCAGCTTTAGAACCTTCCAGTCTCCAGCCATGACTGCGTAGACCAGCGCTGATGTGCCAGACTGATCCTCCAGGCTGATGTCTGCTCCATTGGCCAGTAGCAGAGACACCACCTCAGGTCCGGCGTGCTCCTGGCAGGCGTGCATCAGCGCAGAGCGACCCTCCTTGTCCTGGATGTTGGGGTCTGCTCCTTTCTCCAGAAGAAACTGGACCAGCTTGACTCGGCTGGCACTCTGGGCATCCATGTGCTGGGTCCTACAGGCCACCATCAGGGGCGTCTGGCCTTGGCTGTCGCTCTCGTTGATGTAAGCGCCTCCCTCCAGGAGAAGCCGCGTCAGCCGCAGGCGGCGGAGGAAGACTGCTCTTAGCAAGGGGTTACCTGAATCCATAGCTACCCCAGGGTTACTGCCTTCTCCCTCCATCCCTCTTGGTCCCTGCTGACGGTTTTGGAGATGTAGTCAGGTGTCTGTGGGAAAATAACAAAACTTGTTAAGAGGATAAAGCGGAGGTAAATGAGTCTATCTTACTTCCACAGTGAAGTTCAGCTCGATTCGATTCAACTCGACTCACTTTTGGTACTTTTCTCTACTTTGTTTCCCAAGAATGATAGTACCCTCTCAATGTACCCTCTCTTAGCTTTGTTTCTACAGACAAACCAGACACTCACGTTTTCGCTTCAGCCACCATAACTAGAAGCCTATCTGTGACAAATTTGTCAGAAAAACTGTTTTTTTTAAAAACATGAAACCGCTTTATTCAGTGTTTTTACCGCTTTAAATGACCTTGGGTCTCATTTATAAACATTGTGTAAGCACAAAACGAGGCCTAACAGAGGCGTTCGTCACTTCATCAGCAAAAGTTGTGATCTATAAAAACAGACTTGATGTTTTTGATGTCTTTGTCTCATGCTTATGAACATTTTGGAGATGGGAAATTGGTGATGCAGACGTGGAAGCCTGATTTTTGGCTTTTGTCCGTACGTACATTTTTTATTATGGGTCTTATGGACCCCTGGTCTGTGTTTTTATTGGTTTAAGTCACCTGGTCTCTTTGTTTTGGAGATGAAGAGACCTCTGTGGATAATTCAGCTCCTGGTAAAAACCTCCTGAACAATGAACTCTGAAGGAATTCTAACCAGGAGAAGTTTCAGCTCATTGCAATCTGCAGTCCTCACCACTAGATGTCACTAAATCCACCTGTATCTTACACACTGAATCTTCATATGCAGCAAAGTTGCATATTATATCTTTAACTCCACCTTCTAGAATCGGCTCAGTTCGCTTAGACCCTCGCCCGAGGTGATACCAAAGATGAACAAGGTACTATCCACAACCTTCATGAAAGGAAAACCAAAAAAGAGCAAGCCGAGTTGAGTCGAGCCGTACCGTGCAATGGAAATGTGGCACTAGACAGGGCCTAAATTAAAGGAGCTATATGTAAGAAATCTAAAGCAAATAGTCGTAAAATCCTCCTAATATGTCACAGAGACTAAGGAATAATGTTCATATAACATACTGATCTCACCGACAACAATAGTACAGCCAGAATATTCGCATTTAAAAAATTTTTTTACAGTCTGCAAATCATGTTTATGTTTTGAATTTGTGTTTTGGCCTGTTGCGCCACCCACCGCCGTCTACCAGTCACGCAGTCAGTAGAGTCTCAGCATCAGTTACAGTTACGACTGAGCTACAGCACACAGCAAGCAGCATTAGCAGTGTCCTGGTACATAGCATTAGCAGCCGGCTCCTCCTCAGCTGTATCCCGGCAGCAGCGTTAGCAGCAGAGAAGCCTGACTTGCTCGAACGGTCCTTTGGAAAACTGAAGATCATTGACGCGGCTACTCGGCCCTGCCATGGCAGCCGCCCATGGGCAAACAAATCAGTCTCCAGCGTGCCGCTGTCCAGCAACCTCGAATCTGTAGGGGAGGGGGGGCAGGCACGACTCGTGGCAGTATTTTGAATTTGAGTGCAGTAACCGTTTTGGCCACATTCTTACATACAGCGCCTTTAAATTTTTATTCAAAAGCTTTAAAATTTCTGAAACAAACACACACTCATTCTCAGGTCAAACACATTACAAACCAGCACCACCCCACTCTTATTTTGTTTATCATTTTGTTCCTGTTTTCTCTCAGCGTCTGTCTTTTTTACTTGTACATGACACCAGCAGTTTTGCCTTTGGAGACATACACAGTTTTTGTCTTTTCTTTGTGCATATAGAACCCATTCAACGGTTCCTTTTCATGCGCTCGTCCTCCGCAGCACCAGCAGAGGCAGCCACTTTCTATCAGCCTTTGTACTGTTTGTCCTTGCTTCCCTCTATTAGACCAAATAAGGTGGCAGTTACCAGTGTCTCAGACTGTAACATTTTCCCGAATGAGTCACAGACCATGAAAATGAAACACAGCGCGGATTTACATCTATAAAGGAATGACAGTCACTCTCTGTGTGTTTGTGTCGACTGTACCAGCCATAGTGGAGCTGTAATGACGATGCATGACACAATGAAAAGCAACAAGTATCATGAGGAGAGTTAAAATCATCTCTGTCTCAATTTGAGTCTGAAAAACACAGATTTTAAGAGGGTTTGGAGGTGGAGTAGCCACTTTATTTAAGGATGTTTACCAGTGCAAACAGTTGTCATATGGGAAGTTTGAGTCTTTTGAATATGTTGCACTGCAGTTGAGATCCTCCTGTCAAGCAGTATTAGTAACCATTTACAGGCCTCCAAAATATAGTGCACACTTTGTTGATGACTTTTCTAAACTATTGTCTGTTGTCTGTATTGATTTTGACTGTGTTGTTATAGTGGGTGATTTTAATATTCATATTGATAATCCCAAAGATGGCAGTGCGAAAGAACTTTTCTACATCCTGGACAACTTTGAACTTTCCCAGCATGTAACAGAGCCAACACACAATAAGGGACATATTTTAGATCTAATTATCTCCAAAGGGCTCAACATTTCTGAGGTTGTGGTGACTGATGTTGCCTTTTCTGATCATTACTGTGTTTTCTTTAAAATGGCCATCTCCGCTGACACCAGTAAAAGTACAACAGGGGTAATCAGAAAACGCTATATCAACGAAAACACCTGTACACTATTCACCCAGGATTTTATACCCACACCAGCTCTGCCCTCAGTCTCTGTCAATGATCTGGTTCATAGTTTCAGCTCTAAAGCTATGAATATTATGGACAATATTGCCCCCATGAAGGTCAAAGTTGTCTCTGGTAAGAAAAAACCACCATGGAGGAACGCCACACAGGTAAAAGCTCAAAAAAGAGAATGCAGAAAAGCAGAACGCAGGTGGCGAAAAACCAAACTCCAGGTTCATTATGACATCTATAAGGAAAGTCTGCACATCTATAACTTGGAGCTAAAAAGGGCGCGGCAGTCCTTTTTCTCTGAGATTATCAACAAAAATAACAACAATGCACAGACTTTATTTACTGTTGTTGACAGACTGACAAACCCATCAGCGTCAGTCCCTCCTGAACTGCTATCCACCAAGGCATGCAATGACTTTGCTTCTTTTTTCACAGACAAGATTTTAAAGATAAGACAGACAGTCTGTAACTCCAACACAGTGGCTATTTCACCTGTGCCTCATAAGACTACTCCAGTTAATTTGGCACTTTTTCACCCATTAAATTATGCTACTTTGACAGACATAGTTAGAAACCTTAGGTCCACTACCTGCTGCCTTGACACTCTGCCTACAAGCTTTTTTAAAGATGTTTTTAACTGCATAGCATCAGATATACTACAGATAGTCAACTGTTCTCTTCAGTCAGGCCTTTTTCCAACGGCCCTGAAGACTGCAGTCATTAAACCTCTCTTAAAAAAGCCTAATCTGGATGCCTCAGTAATAAATAACTACAGGCCCATATCAAACCTACCATTTTTAGGAAAGATCATTGAAAAGGTTGTTTTTCAGCAACTTAACACCTTCTTGGAGCAAAACAATTCCTTTGATGCCTTTCAGTCTGGATTTCGAGCACATCACAGCACTGAGACTGCACTTGTAAAAGTTTTAAATGACATTCATCTGAGCAGTGATGCATCAAAGATTTCGGTTCTGGTATTACTGGACCTCAGTGCTGCATTCGACACAGTTGACCATAACATACTGCTCGACAGACTAGAAAAGTTTGTGGGACTTTCTGGCACTGTGCTAAATTGGTTTAAATCTTATTTACAAGACAGGGATTTCTTTGTGTCACTTGGCAATTATGAATCTGTGCGAACAAAAATTACATGTGGAGTTCCTCAAGGGTCCATTCTTGGGCCTCTTCTGTTCAACATCTATATGCTCCCTCTTGCTCAGATTATGGAATATCATAACATCTCCTACCATACTTATGCAGATGACACACAACTTTACATAACAGTGTCACCAGATGACTACAGTCCCCTACATCTGCTAAATAAGTGCATTGACGAAATCAATACGTGGATGTGCCAGAATTTTCTACAACTAAACACAGACAAAACTGAGATAGTTGTTTTTGGCCCCAAAGAACAAAGATCAATAGTCAGTGCTCACCTTGACGCCATGACACTAAAACCTACAAATCAAGCCAGAAATCTTGGTGTAGTTCTGGACTCAGACCTAAATTTCAATAGTCACATTAAGACAATTACTAAATCAGCCTACTACCACCTTAAAAACATAGCAAGAATAAAAGAATTTCTGTCTAAACAAGATACAGAAAAACTTGTTCATGCTTTCATTTTCAGCAGGCTGGACTATTGTAACGGTGTCTTCACAGGCCTGAGTAAAAAATCAATCAGACAACTGCAGCTCGTCCAGAACGCTGCTGCCAGAGTCCTCACCAACACCAAGAGAGTGGAGCACATCACACCAGTGCTTAAATCACTGCACTGGCTTCCTGTGTGTCAAAGGATAGACTTTAAAATCTTGTTACTTGTCTATAAAGCACTAAATGGTCTCGGGCCTAAATACATCTCTGATATACTTGTACGTTATGAAGCATCCAGACCCCTCAGATCATCTGGAACAGGTTTACTCAGTGTTCCCAGGATCAAAACCAAACAAGGTGAAGCAGCCTTTAGTTTCTATGCTCCCCGCCTGTGGAACAAACTTCCAGAATATCTGAGGTCGGCTGAAACTGTCAACTCATTTAAATCAGGGCTTAAAACATTACTCTTTACTGCAGCTTACCAGTGAACTAGATATGTAACTTATTGTTAGGATAATCTGTAGCTATTGTTTTTATGTTTGTCTGCTGTTGCTTTTGCTTTATGTTTGCTTTTTAAATGCATTTTCTGCACTGTTTTTAACTATTTATTTTCTTGCTTTTAGCTCTTGTTTTTAATGATATATTGTTTTTAATGTATTGCTCTTGTAAAGCACATTGAATTGCCTTGTGTATGAATGGTGCTATATAAATAAAATTGCCTTGCCTTTTTAAAATAAGTCACATAGTGAGGGGAAC